CACACACACACACACACACACACACACACACACACACACGTGCGTGAATCTTCCCGCGTTCCCTCGAAGATTCACGCAGGCATGTGTCTGTGAGAGAGAGAAAGAGAGGCGAGGCGACATGCACGGAGGGCCGCGGCGAACTCGCCGCCCCTCTCTCTCTCCGTCGCCGCCTCTCTCTCTCTCTCTCTATCTATCTATCTATCTATCTATCTATCTATCTATCTATCTATCTATCTATCTATCTATCTATCTTCTAAAGTGTGGAAAACGGGAATGAATCTTCCCGCTGCCGCGAGAAGATGCACTCCCTTTTTCATCTCTCTCTCTCTTTCTCCCTCCCTCCCTCCCTCGCTCCCTCCCTCCCGTCCGTCTTTTTTTTTTTGCCAGATCTTTTTTTTTTTTTTTTTGTGGAAGAACTAAAATTCCATTATAAACCGAGGATGAGGCCGGGAATCCCTCAACAAACAATCCAGAGAGGGGGCTGGGGGCATTACCCAGCATAGGCTTAAACTGGAAACCGGGTCCAGCGTCCCATCCACTCCCATTCCTAAGAGATCTTCCAAAAGTCCCATTCTTTTCTGTGTTTTCTTTGTTTTTGTATTTTTTTTTTTTTTTTCAGTTTTCGTTCGAAATACCATTTGTGTCATTGCGACAGTACCGGGGCCCGGCCTTCAAGCAGCGACCGGTGTCGGAAAACGATGCGGCGCAGCAGCGGAAATTGACTCGCCACGGTCAACCCCCGCACTGCGTCAAAACTGCGCCTAGGGACGTCCACGGTCATGGTCAAGCTGGACCCTAACGCATCGATTACATTTCCCCAAGGCCGAAATTGAAGAAAAGACGGCGCGGTGGTACGGTTCACCGAAGACCTGAATTGCCCCCATTGGACTGGACCGACGCGACCGCAATGGGCCAATTAGTGGGGTCCGGTCCAAACGGCACCTGAAACGGACCAAGGGTTAGTGAGATATTCAAGTTTGACCGGTTGGGACCGGACCGACTTGGCCGCATAATTTGGCCAGAAAAGGGACAGCCCTAAATAGTCATATAGATGAACAGCCAGGCCCAAGTAATTAAGATAGGGTCATGTGCTATTTTTAGCACAGGACTGACTGTTCGTCTCCCAAAGTCGGGCCTGCACCAGTCCCGTTCTAAAATTAGCACAGCCCCTCACTATTTTTAGCGTGGGACTGACTGTTCGTCTACCGGGGACTAGGCCTGCGCCAGTCCCGTTCTAAAATTAGCACAGTCCCACGCTATTTTTAGCGTGGGACTGACTGTTCATCTACCGGTGTCGGGACTGGTGAGTCCCGAATGATTTCCCGTCACTCGAGAGACTGCATATGGCCAATTTGTGCACGACAGAGAAAACCGGAGGCAGGAATGCTGGAAAGTTCGGAAGCATGAGCATAGACGGTAGGAGGTGGGAGGCTGCCCAGGGTCGTTAGGACCACCACACTAGAGAGAAAACGGTCTAGGCAGGGGGCAGCAAAGGACTGGGAGAGAGAATGACAAAGGCGACCCCCTTCCCCGAGAACGGAGGAGGGACGCCGGAGAATTAGTATTAGCATGAGGAGAAAGCAGCTAGACAGGGCGCAAGGCGTGGATGCAACACGACGGTGGACGGACCAAGGAGGCTGCATGATAAGTGGGAGCCGGCATCCGGAAGGGAACAGCGCGCAAGACGCGAGAGGGACGGGGAGCAGAGATCACCGCAAGAAGGGAGGACGTCAAAGGAACCAAGAAAAGATGTGGCACCGGCGGGACAAAGTGTCGGGGGCCACAGGGCATCAAGAAAAGATGTAGTGCCGACGGGACAAAGCGTCAGGGACCGCGTAGGACCAAGCAAAAAGTATGGTACTACAGTGGGACCAGTAACGAGGACCGCGGGGGACTAAGTAGATGAGTATGGGCCGGCGGAACCACCGACGGGACGGGACAGGTACCAGCGGGACCAGCGCCAGGAGCTGTTGGCGGAACTAGGGACGTCTGAACAAGTGGGGACGCGTGACGATCCAAAAAGGAAACAGGCCACCGTCCGGGACGGCAACAGGAAAAGAGAATGGACTAGGAAAATAATAAGAAAATGAGGAGTCGAACGCCAACGGGAAAAACTATCGCCGGAACGGAAGAGGCAGGCGCGACACGGGAAAGATGGGGAGAACCTGGGAGGTCCCAGGAGAAACCAGATTAAAATATGCTAACGGTAAAAATAAATGCCAAAGGGACGGCACCTGCAGGCGGCACCGTCTGGGCCGGGTGGCCGGACGAATACTAAGTGTCGTCACGACAAGCGCGGACGGAGAGCGTCGAGGGGAAGAAAAAAGGGAATAGCGTCGGCAAGGGGGGCCGACCAGCAGTCCGGGTTATTCTGGACCAGCCAGGCCAAGAAAAACGAAGTTCTGAGGGCTCCACGTGGAGAAAAAGGTGGCTGGAGAAAATCGGAGCAAGGGAGGGTACCGAAACCGGAAATGGCAGCAACAAAAGGAGCCCCCTTTGGCCTTGGGGGTGCCACTACTGCAGTCCGAGGTGCAACGGCCATGTGCCGACCATAAAAACAGACCTTGGGTGAAGTCCAACAGCCAGAAAGAGGAGAAATAGTTGTTGGACACTTGTCCCTACAGCAATAAAAGAGGGAGGGAGAGAAAAAAGTGAGAGAAAGGGGGAGAATGAGACAAAGGAGGAGGAATGAGTGGAGGAAAATGCGCCGCCAGGTTGGGACTGCAGCAGTAGGGATGGGCAGGCCCCAATGATGACCTCATCCCTCCTAGATCCTAGGAGTGCAGTCCGGATTGCAGAGATAAGGCCCTTGGGGCATTATCTCTGCAGTATCTGAATTTAAGCAGCGAAAATAAGGAAAAAAACTGATGTGAGTTGGTCGGCTCATTTTTGGGCCTTAGATCTGAGCCTTGATGTTGTGGAGGAGGAGATCTAGCCGTTTTTTGTGGGCTGACACAAAACGGCTAGCTCCGGAATGAGTTGGCAGCAAACGGGAGGGAAAACAAAGAGAGAAGCAAGGCAAAACTGCGAATTTGGCCCAAGGGATGGGCTTGGTACATAAAAAAAAGGGAAAGTTGAAGTAAAGGCTCAAATTTGGGGCAAGGGGAGCTTGGGAGTGGCTCGGAATGATGAGGACCATGGATCTCGGCCAGATCCAAGGCTGAGATTGAAGCCGCCACTTGGAAAATGCAACGGCCTACTCAAAAGAGGCCTAGACTAAGAAAAAGATGAAAAATGGGCCTCTAGGCCCTCAATCCTCAGTAAAGGCTGCATTTTGGGGATGGGTAACCCAAAAGGCAGCACTTTTTGAAGTAAGAAGAGGCCGGGGTAGGCCAAGGGGTAGTCTGAGGAGGTACCGGCCTCTCGGACTGCATGTACCTGGCCAAAATGAGGCCCAGGTACCTACCTTTGGATAGAGCGTATGTGGAATCCGTTGAGGGAAGAGGAAGGATGAGAGGGATTGCGGAAGGAAGGGTGGAATCAGCTGGGACGATTGTTCTTTCGGAACAGGGCTAGCACCTGTTATGCACGACGCTCGCTGCAAGACAGAACCCGATGTGGCTTTTAGGGGAAGCTGAGGCAAGGGCTCGGCAGGCGGGGGAAAGTTTTGCTAATAAAGAATGGGATACGGTTAGCAGTAGCGTCGTGACGGGAGGATGGAAGGAATTTAAACCGCCCGACGCCCGAATCAAGACCTGGGTACCCGAATTCGTGGCAGACTGGTTTGGGGGTTTCGATCATGTATTAGAGGTAGCCGGCACGATGAAGCGAATACATGTGAATTGCACTTGGCTGGCAGAGGAATTCTATAGGACATCCTTGAAATACGGACCCTTCCACGACAACAGAGTCTGGGAGGTCCTTATCATTTTGGATATTGAAAGGAATGACCGACAGAAGGTGGCCCCGGAAACTAGAAAGGCCATAATCTGCCGTGAGGTAGCGGCAAAACCTTGTTATGTGGATGATGTGTTCAAACTGTTCGAGGTACTGTGGTTCGATTAAGCGCCGGAAAGCCGTGGGGCCAGACGAATATGGAAAAAATTGCTAAGATAAGGGAATGGGATGTCTGGCCATTGTAGGGTTCAGTGCGGATCACGGGCCAGGAGAACAGAGGCGAGTGTGCGATGGCGCGAAGAAGAACGTTGCTTGAGGAACACCCTTTGGGCATTCAACCGCCTAGGGAAGTACCGGGTGGAGTAGAGGTTAGCTTGTCGGCAGCAAGTGAAGGCTGGCACCGGGTGGCAGATTGGGTCGGGATCGAGCTTGCGGAAAATATGGTTTACTTAGTGACGAAAGTTGAGTGGCGTGCGGCCGAGAATGGGGAACGGAACCCAGACCCACGGGGGCACATGCGCGCAAAAGGGTGGTTGTATGTGTCGAAAAATGGATGGAGGGAGTTCGGAGTTCGGCTGGCATCAGGAGAAGACCCGTTGAGCATGTTTGAAGGGGCATGGCAGTTCGTATGGCAAGCGGGATCTGAGTTCGCAGATCCGGGGGTTGACGATGCAACAGCGGACCTTAGGGTAGCCATGGTTGGGAGTTTTGAATTGCCTAGTGAAAGTGTACGAATGAGGCTGCCACCCTTCTTGCTGGAAAAACTGGGCGGTTTGGAACTTGTTAGACAAGCAGTAGCCGATCTCGCAAGCCTCGCATATGAAGAGGCGATGGTACATCGAGAATACTACCGGGCCTTCTTAGAAATGGGGCCGTTCAGCGGAGAGCAAAAGTACGAGGTGCTGCGCAACTGCGTGCTGTGTTTAGTACCAGGCCGAGGGTTTCGGTCGTGGGAAGTGAGGTCCTGTGGGGCGTCGTCCAACGGAAGATAAACCAAGGAATGGCGTACGTAGATGATCTGTACCGATTATATGAGCAGACGGAGGAGGGGACAGGTCGGTAATAGGGCCAAGGAGAGGGGAAAGAAATAGAAGGGGAAAAGAAGTGTCAGGCTAGGAATCGGGGAGTTGTCCGGGCAGAAAATCGAAGACCAAGGGGAATAAGTAAATTTGCGTGCTGTTTAAAACTGTGCAGGGGTCTTCTAAGTCGGAAATGGCAATGAGACGTGCGCGGATGTCGCGACGACCTATGCACCCGCGACCACCCACGGAAAACGAAGGTGGATGGGAGGTGTCGCTCCCAGCAGGCTACGCGATTCAAGGATTGGATACCGAGTGGAGAGCCGTGATCCTGGGAAGAGGTCAGACGTTCATGATGGTGGAATGTTTGTGGGAAGGTATGAGAATTAATAGAGGATCGGGGGACGATCTGTACACCGATCTTAGGGTGACGGGGACCGTATACTTGCCAGAGCTCGGGTGGCACATGTTAGGGACGGAGTTGGCACTAGGGCATGGGTTGTTGCCAATCTTCCAGAGGGCTACTAGAGTACTAAACCGGGTAGGCCAGGAAGTGCGAGGAAGAAGGAATGTGGGGTTAAGGACTCGGGTGGAGATAGGAGGTTGGAGAGAGTTTAAGGCCCCAATGACCGGGCTGAGGTGCCGAGTACCTCGCTTCATGGTAGACCTGGTATTCGGCAGTCTCAAGAGGGCAAGGGATTTGGTGGACTCGACCCTGGTCTGGATCCACCTCTTCCGGCCACAAACAACGGGCATGTTCTACGACGTGTCGGTCAGACATGGGCCGTTCTGGGGAAACCAGGCCTGGGAACTACTCGAATTACTCGAGATCTTGATATTCGGATTGCCCCACCTGTCGTTTGAAGAATATGAACCAATAATTATCAGGGAAATAGAGATGGGGGAAAATTACCTTGCCGGGTTTGCTGACCTGTTCGAGGAACCGGATGAGCAGGGCAGACCTGAGGGACCAGCATGAGAAAAACGTGCCAGGGAGAAGTAGGGAAATAAAGAATAGGTACTAAGATAAGTAGGCAGCCATCAGCAAAAGAAAGGCAGTGGTTGGAGTTTCGATCGACCCAATGATGCGGCAGGGAGGAACTAGGAAGACCACCCGCCCCAAAGATTCTGGGGCACCTGGATGCCAATAAGCCGAAAAGGCCATCCCCGATAGGAAAGCTGCTGGGCTCAGGTACCGCCCCAAGAATCAAAGCGTGGCAGTAATGAAACGCCAAAGCAGCGGCGACAAGGCTCCGGTAGAAGAAAACCTGAAGGACGTCCCGGGAGAGAAAAGTCAGAAGAGTCGTATTGATTAATGTAAGACGCGAAACATGGGAATAGGTGGGTTTTAGGGACGGGACTAGGGCAATTATGAACAATCGGCCGCCTTTTCGCAATTTTTTATTTTTTTTTCCCATATGCAGGCTAGGTAAAGAAATGGCGACGGAGGAAGGGATCGATGACCAGCAGAGCGGAGGGAATTAGGGCACGAATGGGAATGGGGAACGAAACGAGGGATCAGCCAGGGATCGAGAGTCAGCCAAACTGGAGGGGACCCGAGAAGATGGAAAGGACGCCTCTATTGGAGAAAGCTCAGGGAAAGCTGAGGGTAGCAAAAGGGGACTTCAGGAAAACAGGGAAGGGGGAAACGATATGAGAACAAGTCCTCGAAAATCAGCAGGAGCCACCCCTAAAAAGACGAAAGTCTTTGATACTAGTCATAAACTGACAGAGATAGAGAAGCGGACCGCAGAATTTAAGGCAAGACTTATCGAGCAGATGATGGTCGGGGATGAGGAGGACCTCCAGGACGCAGGGTCACGTGAGGGACGCAGGGCCGGTCAGAACGAGGCTAGGTATGAGGGGAAGGATGATAGTTACAAAGGAACGCCTAGTAAGAAGGGGAAGGACAAGAGCGACCCCCCGGCGGAAGGAACGGAAAACGCTATGACCCCACCCGCCATTGACAGCGGCACTAGCAGACTACCCGCCACGCCGAAAGTAACAGGGGCGTGTGACGGACTTTGGAGCCTTAGGGAGAGAGTGCTAGGATGGTTCGACCCAGAGGGAACACCGAAAACCAGGGAGAAGCAGAGGGAAAGCAAGGAAGGGGAAGGAGCCAGTGCAGCCGGGGAAGCGGGTGGCTCCGAAGACGGTCTCAAGAAAGTAGTCGCCACCCTCAACAGGACACTGAACAAGAACCAGGGGTATCTCGCAGATGCAAAAAAGAAACTCACGTTCGATGGGGCCAACATTACAGAGTTTCTAATAGACTATGAGAACCTAGCAGCCTTACTGAAATGGACGGAAGAGGAAAAGATGGAGCACCTAGGACAGCACGTATCGCTAAGTTTGGGAAGAGACATTATGGCCATCGTCGCCTTTAGTGGATCCTGGAAAGAGACCAGGAATGAGATGATGAGAAAATACCTGAAGGCAGAAAAAATAGCAACAGAGGCAGAATTAGCCGCAGTCCAGAGGAAAAATTATGCGACCTACAACGATTTCCTGAGGGAGTTCACGTTAGTGGCTCTGCGAATTCCCGGGGTAACGGACCGCACAATGAGTAAATACTTCCTCAGGCAGTTCTCCGAGTTTGATAAGGATAAGATTTTGTCAGCATACCAGCAGACCAGTAAGTTCGAATATACGAGAGATGTGGATTTCAGCACCGTAACGGACCTTGCGGAAAAGACAGTGGTTACTGAGACGCTAGCCCTACTTAAGGAAGGGGAGGTCATAGATCTGACCGGGAAGACAGGGGATAAGGTCAAGAAGGGGATAGAGAGCCTGCACGAACGAGTGCACGGGGTTGATAGCAAGATGGACAGAATGGAAAATGCGCTGTTAGTAATGCAGGCGCAAGTGTCAAGACCCGCCCTCCCGCCCCAAGAGGCCGTGGTTCCGGCAGCCGTAGCAAACCGGGGGTTTGGCAGAAGGGATCCAACCAACGAACAATGCAAGTATTGCACCATGATCGGGCATTTCGTACAGGTCTGTCCGAGACTCGATCACGACATTGAGCGGCAGAGGTGTAGTAGGTCCTTCAAAGGCGAGATCCTCGGACCCAGGGGAGAGCGCATCAACTAGAACTCGCCAGGAGGGATGCGGCGAGCCGTCATCCTCTTGAATAACTTCGAAATAGCTGTCGTAGAAGCAGAGCCGATAGCCAAGATTGTTTGGGACCAGCCAAGGGGACGGGGACCACTGGCCAATTTTATCTTAAAAGGCAATGGCCAGGATAGGGTAAACATCACCACTCGTCGGGTCGGCGCAGAAAAGAAACTTATTCAAGACACAGTAAGAGTTTGACCACAGCCCCGACCATGGTACTGCAACACTCAGCCCTGATCACCTGGCCTCTCTATTATAAAAGAGAGGCCACGTCACCCAGACGGGGCGGGTCGGACAGATCAGCATGCGTGACACACGTGGCACGGATCAGACTGTGAGAGAACCCTCACCTGCGGGAGCGCTACAGCCTTGGCGGAACGGCAAGGGGCGGAAGGCACGAGCCAGAGAACAGTGACTTGCCTGTAGGAGCATGAGAGGAGCACGAAGCAGGAGGCAAGCCAGGGAAAGCATAAGGAAAAGGGAGGGGCAAGACTGGCCCCTCACTTTCCCTTTCTCATCCTTTCTCTTCTCTCATCTTCTCTTCTCTCTCTTCTCTCTCTCTCTCCCTCTTCCTTTTCAACCGTCTCCATGGGTTGTGTACATGTCATATCTGATCTGTGCGCACCATGCTTGAGTTGTTGATTGATCATGAATTGTGTGTTCACTCGCTGCATCTGAGGGTTGACCTTGAGTTGAGCACCGATGAGCACTGCACCTGATGACTGGCCATGAGTTGTGAGCTCACATGTTGTAATTGAGGGTTGACTCAGTATCGTATACCCACGTGCACTGTATCTGTAGGCTGATCCAAGACTGTGCGCAGCGCACAGTATTGCCTCTGAACCAGAGTGTTGTACCTTGGTTACATGATCAGTGTCACGTAATGATTGGCTGGGCTACTGAGCATTTGAACATGAATAATCGACCGTGCCAGTAGGCACTTGAATAGAGTATGATGATTGGTTGCGAAGCACTCAAACTGAGTATATTGCTCTTCGGTGTGAGCATAAATAGAATATGATGCGACTGTGCGCACGTGAATTCTAGTGTGACACTGCGCACCCAATCTGCAAACCAAGTCTTTTTTTTCTGATGAAGTACGAAACTTCGCACTTAAATTGTAATCTCCGCTTTGATGATCTTTGAGTTGTCTGCGACTGTGCGCGCTTGAACTTAAGTGCGACACTGCGCAAAAGGACGGCAAAACTCGGTTTTAATGACCCTGAGTTAAGGCTGTACCTTCGCAGTTATACTGAGTACCAAGTCAATTTTGAGACTGCCAGCGCAGTGGCATTGAGTATCGAGCCGATTTTGAGCCTGCCAGTGCAATGGCACTGAGTACCAAGTCGATTTTGAGCCTGCCAGTGCAGTGGCACTAAGTACCAAGTCAATTTTGAGCCTGCCAGTGTAGTGGCACTGAGTACCAAGCCGATTTTGAGCCTGCCAGTGCGGTCGCACTGAGTACCAAGCCGATTTTGAGACTGCCAGCGCAGTCGCATTAAGTACCAAGCCGATATTGAGACTGACAACGCAGTCGCGCTGAGTACCAAGCCAATTTTGAGACTGCCAGTGCAGTCTCACTGAGTACCAAGCCGATTTTGAGACTGCCAGAGCAGTCCCACTGAGTGCCAAGCCGACTTTGAGACTGCCGGCGCAGTTTCCCTGAGCATCTGGCCGATTTTTGAAACTGTCAGTGCAGTTACCTTGAGTATCTGGCCAATTTTGAGACTGTCGGCGCAGTTACCCTGAGAACCAGATCGATTTTGAGATTGCCTGTACAATCATCAGACCGACTTTTGAGCCGCATCGAATGACAGTGTGGCCACACTGGGCACTTCGCAGTTCGCAACAATGCGAAGTCGCAACATTGCGCAGTGAGCGCACTGTACTTGAGAGCCATATCACGGTACTTCGCAGTTTGCAACATTGTGCAGTGTGCACACTGTACTTAAGGGCCATATCAAGGCACTTCGCAGTTCGCAACAGTGCGCAGTGAGCACACTGTACTAGAGGGCCATATCGGGGCACTTCGCAGTTCGCAACTGTGCATGGTAAGCACACTGTACTTGAAGGCCATATCAGGGCACTTCGCAGTTTGCAACAGTGTGCAGTGTGCACACTGTACTTGAGGGTCATTCTTGAGTATTTCGCAACTGTGCGCAGTGAGCGCGCCGTATTTGCGGGCCATATTTGAGTGTTCTGCAACTGTGCGCGAGGAGCGCGCCGTACTTGAGGGCCATACTTAAGTATTTCGCAACTGTGCGCAGAGAGCGCGTCGTACTTGAGGGCCATATTTGAGTGTTCTGCAACTGTGCGCGAGGAGCGCGCCGTACTTGAGGGCCATACTT